CGCAAACGTCCACCATCGAGGACCTCCCTGTCGAGGAAGCAGAGAGTTGGAAAGGACGGTCGACGGACGAACGAAACGGAAGGTGCGGAGCGTGGCGCGCGTACAAGCCACCCCTGAGAGATTACAGACGAGAAAGACGGGCAGCATTCGGTGGCGTTACCGAGTGTGCGGCCCTCGGCTTGCCCGGTTCTAAGCTGGTGCGACCACACAGCTGGAATACAGCGTCTTCCACCAGGAAGAGGTGTCCGGCAGGTATAAAACGCTTCCGAGCTCCAGCTTCTGTGAGTGGACGGTTGTGTCTTTTTCCCACCATTAATCGCCCGCTCGCACGCTCACTCGTCCTCGAAGGGTGACACCCACCCTTCGAGGGCTGACCTGTCGGGGGGTGAGTTTTCGTGGTCGAGACGGGTCAGTTGCTCGGCCACAGTCAGCTCCGGAAGCCTAGACGTCACGGTGTCTGTCGGGATCAAGGGACACGTTGACGAGTCGCGCGCCGTTCGTTCTCACGAAACAGACAGCCGGCTTTGCAGGACAGTGCGCGCGGAAGTGCTCGCAGAAGGACGATACGTCTGTCTACGCACGATAACGTCCGTCGGTTTCCGACACGCTCCGCCGAACTCCGTCGGGGTGACGCCGCGGTGATCAGTGACCGTTATCGGAGCACCCCGGAAGGATCGCGCTTAATCCCAGGACGATCTTATCGGGCGATTAGCGTCGGGGTCATGCGCACGACCCTGTGAGTGCGATTCGAAGGATCGGGTTTGCGTCGACAGCATTGAGAGAGACAGAGAGAGAGAGAGAGAGAGAGACGCAGGGTACCGTACGAGATGTTCGTTCAGTGATAGTTGGTGCGCACGGTGCTCCCGATCGGGGATAAAGGACGAGAGGGAAAGGATTTACGCGGAGGAGGAGGTGGAGGAGGTGGTGGAGGACACTACCGGGATCGAGACACGCGAGACACACGCCGTAGAAGATGAGGCTCTTGGTGTTGTTGACCGCGCTCTCGGTGACGGTGCACGCGTCCCAGGCGGAGATCACCAGGAACAAGAATCGCGGCAGGGGATCCATGTGGTGGTGAGTACCGTGGCGACGATGCCCGGAGAGTTTCGCTTTTAATACGCCTCTCGGCGGGGAAGTCGGATTCCCCTGAGCCGTACCGCCGAGCCGTCCCATCGCGCGCGCGCGCACGAACGCGCACGCCTGTAAACACGGCCGCGCCGTAAAACTTTTTTATCGCGGACATTACCGCGCGGAGGTTCTCGAAATAAATTATGCTTGCACCGTGCGTCTTAATAGACTTGTTGACAAAGTCATCGACTAGAGCTGTATAATCGAAGGGGCCGCCGGTGGGCAGTAGAGGTATCTCTGAGAAACGTGTTCCTCGGACGTTTTCGTGGTTCGGCGCGAAATATCGATGATCAACGGCCAACGCGTGTCGTGTTCGTCACGCGTTGAAATAGTCCTCTGTGAAAAGTGGGGAAAAGGGGAAAAGGGTCTCCACGCAACAAGTAGCTTGATTCTTTTTTCTCTCCCCGGCCGAGGGATCTTCTTCCCTTCCGTATCCCGTCTTTTTTCGTTCGGGTTTCATCGCATCGTACGTTTCTTTGTAACCGCGAACGATCGCTCCACTTCCGTCGAAAGCACGTGCGTCGTGTCTGCAACAGCTTTTGACAGTCTCGAACACATTTGACAGACGACGAGAGCGAATTTTCACGCGCGCGCTCCCGTTATTAGTGATCCTGAGGAGTTTTTCCCGGTGACGTCATAGCGTTCTCAACGAGAGGAGCGTTAATTAAGATCGCGATCGCGATTACTGAATCGTCGGAAGTAAAAATCACACCACCCCGCCCACCATCGGCTCTCCACGTGGACCCGCCTCCGGTGCGACAGGTTCGTGTGTGTCGTCGTGAAAGTCGGGGGCTCGAATATCTTCACGCTCTTCGTCGATCATAGATCCATCAAGATTCTTAAAGAAAACTCATCCGTGACAATTCTTTGTGTGTCCAGTTTCCCGAGAGAGAAAACCCCAAATCACAGACGGCAACCGTAAACTTAACGATTCGTATAGTTTTAAGCAGAAGTTATTCCGTGTAAGTTTACGAGTCGTGGATGGTAATTTATCGCGAGATATTTACCGTCACTTCTCCCCTCAATGGGTCTCAAAATAAACTCGATCTTTCAAACCGAACGTCGATGGACGGAACATTTCGTTCGGCCTGCGGTGGATTCTCAATGCGGACATTTCCGTTAGAGCCCGTGTCGAAAATCTAAATTCTATCCTATTAAGTCCTTCAAGTGGAGAAAATGGAAACAAGTTTCCATTCGTAGCGTCAAATGTTCTTTGACTTTAATGCATAACAAATGGAAGTTGAGACCTTTCAAATTTTGTTTTAGTTCCACATTAAGCCTTTAGGTGGAGAAAATGCCAATAATTTTCCATCCGTAGCATCAAAGGAACAAAATAGAAGATCTCTGAAGACTTGGGTCCATATTCCAATTTTAATCGATAAAAGAACCTTAAATGCGGCTTTTCCGTCAATCAGGCGGTTCCTAAGCCACTTTTAGAGCCACTCTCACTGACGAAAATGAATTTAGAAAATGGACATTAATGTAGAACTAAACTAGACCTAACGTGGAACGTAAAAATTTCGACTTGGGACTCGAGTTCATTATATATTCACAACTTCCACATTTTCCTGAGGAAAAAAAGAACGATCGAAATTACACACCTCCTCACCCGCTCGTTTTCCATCCCATCTTATAATCACACGTTTCCTCGTCACGTGTTTCACACGTAACACGTCTCTCCGACGGAGCTTTCACGTTTCACGCAAACGCACGCTATATTCGCGGACGTATCACGAGGAGGAAGAGGAGGAGGAGGAGTAGGTGGAGGACGTCTCCCGGCGGTACCTCTCCCTCCTTCTTCTCCCTCGGCGTGTTCGGCGCGGTTTCCCCTAATTAAACTATTACCCACCGCTGAATCGAGCCGACCTTCGCGCGTTAATTACCCCGACTCGCGCGCGTACGCATTAACATCTGTCTCGCCCCAGCGTTTATCGCGCTAATCGCGGTAGCAACGTTGCTGGTCGGCTCGCTCGCACGCGTGCGAGCGCGTGCGCCCCACGCGTGTGTCGTTATTAATTCATTAATCATAATTCTAACTCCACTCATTTCGATTCGCGGGCGTTTTCTCGCGAGCGAGCACGCGCGCGCACGCGATGCGTGTTAGATAATGACTAACTTCATTAGACCGACGATAAATAACGCGCGCGCGATCGAGCGCTCGCGCTCGTACATTATCCCGGGAGATAGTCTCACGGCGAATATCCACCCATAACGATAAAACGCCGGTTATAAATCAGCCCGGCTCGCCCGGTTTCCCGTGGACTCGCGCGACGCTCCACTCGGCGATTGTTATTGCCGCTAAATTAATTGAATCGCCGCGACACGACGATTCACACGTTCCTTGCAATTCCCGTGCCAGCTCGGATCGCTCGTGCGACGTTTGTCGTTCTGCGATCGCGAGGAAAAAAGAAATCAACACGTTTGTCCTCGATCTCGCCACGCGCGGATGTGTCTATCATTTAGGTGTGTATGTAGAGTCGTTTCTAGTGGGAACGATGAAAAGTCACGTTCGACACGTTCAGCAAAAATTCGTGAGAAGCGACCACTCGAAACAACAGTTCAAGAGAGACTCTCGAAGATTCTCGAGAACTTGGGGAACCCTTTAAACGTATTCGTGACGTCGTTCCGAGCATTTGCGCTGTCTAAGATAAGTGCGAATCAAAATCTTCCCCGAAAACGCGAAAGTAAAGCGAGAAAGTGGAAACTTTCCCGAAACTCTAAGGCCCGGTTGCACCAAACTTCGATTAATCCAAGTGACGATTAACTTACAACATTGCAACTGAGATTTCTAACTCCCCTTTCTCGATTCTTTCCCCAAGAGAAATTTCATTTGGTGACCCTGTAAATCAGTCGTCGCTTAGCTTAGTCGGAGTCTGGTGCAACCGGACCTAGATACGTAAAAATCCGCAAAAAATTCTCAAAATTGGAACGATCTAAGGAAACTTGCTTTTCAATACATCATTTCATTTTTCATTTTTTCATTAATGATGAAAACACGGATGCCCGAACAGCCGTTTCGTCGTTACTCGAATGCGATGTATAAACGATTAGGTAGTACGTACAAAAAAATATATACTGAATATAAGTAAATGTTATTTATTCCAAGTAAATAATTTACAAGCTTGTATATCTCCAAATATATCACTTATCGTGAGCTTATCATGAATTTACCACGAGCTTCGGATTTATTCAAAATATATTCTAAATCCTGGTTAAGTTTAGTACTACAATCGAGAATATTAAATTTAAACGAAAATGGGCTGTTTATTGAAACTAACCAAATGTATCTTCTGTTCGAGAAAATTTTGTAATATTCTTGAAAAGAGAAGAAATTCTTCTCACGTGTGCGTGATAACGAATGAGAATGAGTTCTCTTGAATGCATATTTTTCTCAAATATATGACGAGCACATTAAGCACTTAAGGCTATTATCAGGAAAAAATCTTTCGCCGAAGATGGCCATTACTCAAGGGAAGGAAAGTAAAATGAGTAATTGCTCTTCTCAGCGGTAGAGTGACATTTTTCTGTGTGTAGTGGAAGGAAAGCGCGGAGAGAGAGTCGAGCCAGCTGTTACCCGTATCGGATTCGTCGGGGATCGACATACGTCGGGATCGATCGATCGACCGGTCGGTCAGTTCGTCGGTCGGTAGGTATAATCTTGACGACCGGTAGACCGGCGACGAACACGGTTGGAAAGTGAAAGACCGATGTGGCAGCGGTCGACGTGCGTTATCGGCCCTCGTGGGTGGCCGCATCCGGCGCTAATGGTGACGATTAATTGCCGGCGCGAGTAATAATTACACCTCGCGGCGACATAAGGCGCGCGGGCTCGCGCGCGAGAGGACTTCCCGGATTTTTAAGAGGCGCGCGAGCGCAGCAGATTATTACTTTTGCCGCGTGCGCTCGCGCGATCGTTAATTAAGTCTCGCGCGCGGTTTTTCTGCCTTCGCTCGCACCTCGCCTTGTGAAACGGTATTCGTGCGATTTTATCGGACGCCATTACTCCGCCGTCGCGCGGGAATGAAGAGAGATATCCGCGTTACAATATTAATAAGAGGAAAAGAAGGGAAAGAAGACGCGAGTCTAACGCGGTTTAATGGAGAGTAATCAACGCGAGCGACGCATTTACCGCGGAACGTCGGCGTCGAGGTCCGTCCGGAGCGCGATTCCGACCGCACGTTTAGCGTGTAACGCACTCGGGAATACGGGATACACGCGATATGTGATGTATCTCGCGAGAGGAACGCCCGAGAGCCTCGCGATTAATCACTCGTGTTTCGAAGAGCCTCAAACAAACGTCGGTCCGCCGCGCGTCCGATCGCGATATCCCGGCGTTCGCTGCGACCTCGTGTCTGTCGTTTTCGTCGCGAACCGGTAGTCTCGAGAGCGCGCGCGGCCGATTCATCGGACGACTCTCGGGGACGAGAATCAGGAGCCGAGGTGTATACGTATAGTCGTCGTGACAAGCGTGCTCTCCTATGAGAAAGACGAGAAGTCGGTCGGCCGAGTGAAAAAGACGTCGACGGGCACGATCGACGGTGCGACATCTCCGTCTGATTCATGGCGTCTCGACCTGATTCACGACGTTGTCGTTCTGGATATGGACGGGCTCATGTTAGAAATGACGTACGTCGGGATCGCTTCGCGGACGGCACGGGAACACGCTTGATGCACGCTTGGAAACGCTTTCATTCAGAGACGGGCATCGATGCCGGCAAAAACCGCCTACAAGGCGTATCGAGATTCGCTTCGCGCGCGTCGATAAAAAATATTAACAAACCGATTTAATTATTTATGGTCGATCTTAATGTAGGCCTGTAGATTCCAATCGGGGATGTCTACATTTATCATCATATCATCGACATCATGCGTAATTTGTACGTTTCCTTCTGTAAATTTAAATATGCTCGCTCCGAAAATGGTGAAATTTGAATATATTGGGCCGT